ATCCATCTGATCCAGGGCGTTTCTCATTTTTCATTCTTTTAATTGCATCAGTCAACTCTATAAATGATATTTCCCCTTCTAAGGACTCTTTCATATTATCCGATTATTTTGGTATATCTTTATGGGGTATAGCATTATTCAAATTAATAGATTTTACTGTCTCTTTTTTGGAATATAGATTTTTGTAATAATGTTTGGCTTCGTTTAGAATTTATTTTTGTTTTTAATTATGTTTCCTGATTTTTCAATTAATTTAGGATTTGTTGTATTTACGTAATTGTTTGTCTCTAAATTCATGAAATACTTTGATGGTTTCTCTCCTTCTTCTACCTTTTGTGTTTTAGACCTTATATATTGACCCCTCAACTTATTTTGTCTTAGAATTTTGAGATCTGTTTTCTTTTTTTCAATCTGTTCCAAAATTTCATCTGTTTGGGTTATTTCTTCCAACTTGTTTATATCTTCAGCTAGTAGATATTCTAATTTATTTGTTTCTTTCTTTTTAAATGAGGCAAATGATTTGTTTTCCCCCTTTCAGTAAATAATGTTTCTAACAATAATTGATCACTAATTGTGAACTCGATATCACTAGAGTCTACTAAGTTTAGGTTTTCTCTGTTATATACAAGAGAAGCATATTGCTCTTTAGTTTTAATTATAACCTCTTTAACAATATGGACATAATCTGGATCATACAGAAGAGAATTGTTAAATTTCCACAAACCCCTCCCAGTACTGAAGTTATTAAGTTTTATTTGTAAAATAATAGGCGAGTGATCTGATCTATAACTATTTTGTATCTTTAAGTCATGTATATTTGGGTAAAAGCTCTGTGAAACTAAAAAATAAATCATTCAGAGTATACATGACACATATGGTTTGATAACATACTTTAAATATAAAATGACTGAAAAATATCCCACACAACTGACAATAAGTAATGAATATCTAACCAATGTATGTTATGTAGTAATGGTCTGGTCTCTGATTCAAACATGATACTAATAGTAACCCTGCTGCTATGAGTTTCTATAACTATATTTGCCAATAAAATAATAAACAAAATAATAAAACATGGAAAAGAAAAGAAATGAAAAAAAATTGAGTAAAAAAATGAAAAAAAATGATAAATATGAGTAAGTTAAAAAATACAAAATATACCTGCAAAGGGTATAGTCACCCAGTTTACTGAAATTACCATTTATGCTCTGCTGGAGGTTTTTTTTGTAATACTTCCATCAAAGGTTAACCATACGAAGTGTACATTGAATTGACAATATAACTAGATTTATGAGTAAATCAGCTGCACTCTTCACATAATTCTTTTCAAGTTTCAATTTGTTGATATTTTTTAAATATACAACAACTCTTGTTTCAAATTTTTTTTCAAATTCAATTAATATTTTTCGAGTTATTTCCCTTTGATTTGAAAAAGTTAATTTGTGTTAAAATCCATTGTTCGTATATCAAAAATTTCAAGAAAAATCATTTGACCCATAAGCCTTTAGTTTCCGAAACAGCGAATTGTCAAGTTTATTAACAAACATGCTAAAGGCAAACGTAAAGCTAATAAAAAAAAAAAAATTTTGGTTCAGATAAAAAACAAAAAAAAGATAAAAGAAATTTGCAAGTCAAAATAAGCTAATAGCTATAATCAAAAAGCAGAAAAACAAACAAACAAAAAAGCAAAGAAAAAAACACAACTTAAATGGCTAAAAAAAAAGCGCACAACAAAAAAAACCAAAAAACAAACAATAAAAAAAAAAGAAAAAAGAAATGCAAAAACATAAAACAAGCACATTGTATACTCAACACGGTGTGTCACATTTTTACTTACTGTTCTTTTTTTAAAACCTGAAATATATATAATGAGTATGTTATTTTGGAAACATGCATACACATGTGTAGATCTAACTAGCTTGTGGGAAAACACTGCAAAAATTAAAATAAATAACAAGAGAGAGCATATATACATTGTATTCACTTTTTATTTAATAGATATAGGAAGATGTGGTATGAGTGCCAATGAGACAACTCTCAATCCAAGTTACAATTTATAAAAGTAAACCATTATAAATCAAGGTACGGCCTTCAACACGGAGCATTGGCTCACACCGAACAGCAAGCTATAAAGGGCCCCAAAAATCACTAGTGTAAAACCATTCAAACGGAAAAACCAACGGTCTAATCTATACAAAAACGAGAAACGAGAAACACGTATGAACTACATAAACAGACGACAACTACTGTAATCAGAATCCTGACTTAGGACAGGTGCAAACATTTGCAGCGGGATTTAACGTTTTAATGGTACCAAACCTTTTCCCTTTTCTGAACCAATAGTATAACATCACAATATAGAAAAACACACTATAAAATATCACTTGGAAGGCTTAACTCAATCATAAAACGTAAATTAACACACAATGAACGAATAAATTTGACCTGTTACACCTGAATGCAAATACACAGTTAATAAAAAATTACAAGGGATAAATAATAAAAGTCAAAAGTAAATAAACAGGTTTAAACAAAGTTAAAGTATGATATCACTGTGAAATTTCAAACAATTTATAGAAAATCATCACTTTTGAAGAAACCTGCGTCATATTATACACAGGTAAATGAAAATAATTTTGTTGTTAAGTATACCTCTTCTTCTGTGTGTATAAAATCTTCCGTTTAGGAATACCAAAAAATTTCTTAAATATCAATAAAACTAATCCAACACTTGGTACATATGGGGTAAATATCAACAATAAAAATATACAATTAGTGCTAGATAAAACTTCCTGTACAGGTCCAAGAACAGCATCTAAGGAAAAATGAAATAACTTTGATGTTCATAGTACGAAGAAGTGAAAATTTGTAGTAATGAAATACCAAATAATCAAAGCTGGTAAGTACATCTCAAAGATAGTCAATATATTTTCAAAAAGTAAATTAAGTGTAGCATGGAGGCAAAACAAAAAACTTAGTAAGGTAAGCAACAGAGAGCATCCCTCCTTAGAAACCAATTATCTTTTGAGTTTGTACGAGTTTGTAGGAGAATACGGGTCCCGATAACCTTGATTCTAGTTTGCAGATGTTCCTCATTCCTAATTTTGTAAGCCATCTTTGCAAGTTCATGCCTCGATTCTTTCATGACTGGGGGTAGATAAAAAACAATGCGCATTCGTTTGTCAGACAAATTGTAACCTTTAGATATGGCGTACTGTTTGTCTGCATAGTGCATAAAGCGGATTATAATAGAAGCAGGCCTTTTAGTTTGGTCAGATGTTTGCCTTGACGGAATACGATGGGTGTTGGCAATCGGGAAGCTATAAGCCTTTTCTTTATCGATTTTTAGGTCTTGAATGAAAAATGTATTAAGCACCTCGTATATATCTTCATTTTCACTTTCCGGTATTCCACGAACAAGGGCGTTGTATTTTCTTTCATGTTTTTCTAGCAAAACCTGTTGCACATGCAGAATTGCATTTTTTTTCTAGACTTTGTCTGAATAGATCCAACTTTACCCCCAGTTTTTGGTGGAGTTCGTGTTGCTCAGTCTTTAGTTTTCTATGTTGTGTTTTGTGTACTATTGCTTTTCTGTTGGTCTTTTTTTTTAGCCATGGCGTTGTCAGCTTATTTTTCGAGTTATGAGTTTGAATGTCCCTTTAGTATCTTTCGCCTCTCTTTTGTATTACAATAAATTTGCTCTTATCCGGAATATATTCATCTAATTTGCCGCCGGACGTTTAACAGCCATACATCCTTTGATACTTGTTTATATAGTTTTGGGTTGCTTTCTAAAAGAGGGGCGAAAGATACCAGAGGGAAATTCAAACTCATAAATCAAAAATAAACTGACAACGCCATGGCTAAAAAAGAAAAAAAGACAAACAATAGTACACAAAACACAGCATAGAAAACTAAAGACTAAGCAACACGAATCCCACAAAAAACTGGGGGTAAATTGTTCTGTTTCGTGTGCCGACCTAATTTGAAAGTGTTTAGTATGGGTCAGGATTGATTGTTGAACGTATATATGTAGAAGTAGAAGGGGTGCCAGAACAGAAAAGCTCTCACACATTATAACTCACTACTATCAACCTGCTGACTAAATAGGATGCCATTGTGTTCTGTAGTGGTTGCTGTACCTGTATATATATAGGATGAATGACCGGACAGACAGACAAACTGAATGCAATAAAGAGTGAGGGTATAATAAGGCATCAAGTAAAGGTCAGATGGTACCTCTAAGTAAAAGATCGAAGACACCTGCTCCTGTGGGGCGCGAACTTACAACGGTTAACCTCAGCGTTGAAAGGCTAGTGATAGCTTTATATGAACTTCTTAGACCACTCAGCCACCAAAGCCCATCCCGTTTTCTTAATTGTGGTATAATCATGATTAAGCATCAATCAAAGGTCCGATAGTACCCTTCAGTAAAGATATTCTAGCTCAAAAAGATCAATCTTAACCACTAATACAATTTGAATGACTTTAGTCAAAGAGTTTTTAGGTGAATCATTGTTAGATAATTTTTGTATATTGTTTAACAAAAAATAGCCTTCTAAACCCATATGTTGTGCTTGATAATCAAATGCAACTGTAGTTAGAGATGGATAAAATGAAGCAGAGAGAATTTCAAAACGGGGGAACCAAAAAACCATAAGTCGATTAAAAACAAACGAACACTAAACATAAGACTGAAGATTGAGCAACTCCCAACACAAACTGGTGGCGTACACAGTTTCTCAGTAAGGTTTAATAGTTCGAGCACCACTGGTGACACAAGCTTGGTTTATTTTTTCAAAATAAGAAGATGAATGAAATCGAATTATTTTATATTATACAATGTTGGATTGGTGGATTGTCTCTTGTGTAACCATTAGAAATCACAAAATGTATAAATAGCAATACAATGAAAATAGTTTATTTTCAATACTTGAAATATTTCAATACATGTAACAACATATAAATATTTTATTTACTTAAAAATAATAAACTTCCTGAATTAATACCTTATACCACATTGTACAATATTGTTAAAAATAATGTTTGTCTCATGTCCTAGTTTTGCTTCCTGCTTTTCATAAATGCCTCTGAACCGGCAAATCTGTTTTTTCATACACAAATGACAACATATTTATACAATAGATATAAAAAAATTAATACCCAGAAATTTAATTTGCACAAACAGACAAAATAAAACTGAGTAGAAATGAATCCAGTATCTACATGTATTAAGAGGTAATAGTACCAATTATCGGTCGTCCTATTGTCTGTATCACTTTGCTCATATGACGGTTTTTTGACGTCAAATACGTTGACCCGGCCTTAATAATTTAAGGACATATCGCTGACATCAAAATGAATGATTCGACTTGATAAGTTTGACCCGAACTTCCGGTTTGCTAGTGAAACAAAGAAAACACTTGATTTTTATGAACATTAAATGTGGCTATGTCATTTTCTTATATATATGCTCACACTTGTATACATTAAGTAATTCCTTTCGCAATCGTAAAGCAATTATGCCATACTATTCTGTTTGGGACTCCTATCTTTACCAGAATATATTTCAAAGTGACTTTGTGATATGACGACAACCATAAAACCATTCACAATACACCGATGTCCAGTTCCTTTTATGAATACGTTTACCCCACATAAATTGATGTAAATGACTTCATTCAATAATAGCATAAGCATTGGGACATTTGAGATGTTCAAAAATTCATGCTGATGAAAGTCGTCTATGAACAGACAAGAAAACATGGACCGTTTTAAAATGTTTAGTCCACTGCATCAATTATATCATATACGTCCTCCATATCTGGTGAATCTCTGATTGGATCCTCCGACAAGTAAGCTTCCTGAATGCCTTGTGGGAACAAAGGCTTCATGAACAGACTGTCGAAAAAGTTCTCATGCATTGTTTTCATATTTTGTTCCTTAGCACAAGTTGAGCATTTGGTATTTGAAGACATTTCTCCCAGAATTTCACAAAAACTACATAGAATTTTCTGTTCTTCGGTTTTAACGTCTTCTAACAGATAAGAAAATTGCTTTTGAACCACAGCTGATTGATTCATTTCATCCAATCTGTTCAAATCATCAGAAAGTACATCTTTCCTTGAATTAGTTTTTAAAGTATACTCCATCTTTATCCGTTCATTCATGTTAGCTTCTTTAATCCAGAAGCCATTTTTGGAATGTTTAAATTTCGTTGGATTCTTAACAAAGAAATAATAGAATTGACTGGTCAGATGTTGAGTCTGGTTCAGGACATTCTCAGATTCTGAGTCCTTGATTCTCTCGGAAAACTTTGACGATTGTGTATCCGACTCTTTCATTGAACTTCCTTTATTATCTGTACTCCTAGAATCACTGAGTGTTAGATCACTGGACGTAGAGCTTGTTGACTCCATGTCAACAGAACTGTCATTATAACCTGAATTTGCCAGCAAATGACATTCAGACTCGCTCTTCTTTTCCTGGTCATCCATTTCATCACCGACAAGAGAATCACATGTCTCAGAGAGACTATTATCGTCACCATTTCCTGATTTGGTAATTATTTTGTGTGTGGTATTTGATGCAGAAAATGATGTAAATGAGCACCTTAGTTTCTCACTGGCTTCAATTTCTCGAGAATCACTTGAACTATCGTCTTTAAACAGATCAGGGTCAATCATAAACAGGTAGTCAGCTTCTTCATCCTAAATAACATAAGGAACATTGTAGATACTCATATCATACTATCTAAATCAATCCCCCTCTTCCGAATTTTTTTTTTTTTTTTATAAAAGATACATTCAATACTTGAATAAAGCATACTTTGCGAAATTATGTTAAAATTGTTTCAAGTTTAACATTTATAAATCAAACTTTTTTTTTTGCTGTTTAGTATGTTTATTATTTGCATGTGACCTTCAAGCATACTGTTGACCTCCAATAATTATGCATACAATATATACCACAACCAATCAGGATGCTTTTATCCAATTCAAGCATTTCACATCATATCATACTGTAAATTCAGAAATTTTTCAATTTTTTATCAGTAAAGGTTTTGCAAAATCATAAAAAAAAACCAACAAAAATACCGAACTCCAAAGAAAATTCAAAACGGAAAGTCCCTTAATAACTGGCATTTCAAACTTTTGTATTCAGCATTTCTGGAATAAGAATTAATCCCCCATTTTTGTCTATTGTTCAACAATCGATATAACAGAACTAGATACAGACTGAATGCTGTAAGCGAGATGTCTATTGGTTATTTGTGTTGTTGGTTAGCTGTCTTATTGACATATAACCTACATCTTCTTTTATTCTTTACATTAAACTTACTTCTGTTGGTTCCTGACTTTTTTCTATATTTCTTTTTAATTCTTCCATTTGTTTTAGGACAACGTCAGATTGATTTAACAACTTTAAAGCATCCCGGTCTTCTTTCATAATTCTGTTGAATTTTCGTTTAGATACTATGTATCTCATTTGTATCCTCTCTACCCAGAGGACTCCAAACAGCCAAGGCGGGTCAGAGTGTCTCTTTCTGGGGACTGTGGCTGAAGCTTTAGATCCCTTTGCTTTTGAAATCTAAACAAACAAACAAACAAACAAATAGATAAATAAATTAGCATACTAAAATAAAAAATCGAATACAAATTACAGAAAATATGTATAAATTACTTGATTTTGATCTCAACTGATCACACAAAATTGAATATAAGTAATAATCACCCTAAATAAAGGGTTTGGTTAACTATATTTGTCATGAAAAGATAGGAGATATTTGGCTGTATCTATTGATTTTATTCACAAGGTTATTTGGGGCATAAATCTGAGACAACAATCATTAATTTTTGTTTATTCATATTAATCTATTCTTACCTCTTGGTTGTTACTAAGTTCCAGTAGGTACATCAAGGTTGAACTTGTGCTCTCTCCCGATGATGAATTCGAGATTGGCATTGGAGTGCTACCCATGTCGCTAGCCTGTGTAAATATCGCATAAAATAAACAAACAAACAAGTTTTACCCAGACCTTTGCAATAAGTTAAGTTATGAGAAATAATTCATGCATCTATACTATAGTTTGATTTTATTTTAAAGGGAGTGAAACGTTCAAGAAACAAGTTTAAAAATTTACATCTTCGTAAGTTTTTAGATTAATGGTATTGTCTGAATCTCATAGAAAGGTAAACATTTTAATCATCTGATTGGTTTTTGAAAGAAAAAAAAAGATATTAATTTATCAGGGTACCTTGTTCGTGAAAGCTGTAGCAATAAGGTAATAAATAAATAATTATCATAAAAAAAAAAAAAAGAAAAAAAAAACAATTGAAAGAGAAAATAACTTCCTTCTGATTGGTTGTTTAAAGAAAAGTAAATGTTTCTATCTTCTGATTAGTCATTTAAAGAAAGTGAAAAAATAAAGATCTTACACCAGAAAGGATGCAAGACTGAAATTTGAGAGAGCTTTGAGTAAGACCTCAATATATGATGGGGATGGTCTGTTAAGAGATGATAGGAAATCTAACCTTAGGATCAGTCATGTGTAATTAAGTTTGAATTGAATCAATAGTTCCCCAGTAGAAGACTTAAATTTGTTAATGACAGATTATCAACAGCAGCCAAGTTATGGCAATAGCTAATAAAGGACTTTTGGTCAGATGAGCTGAAACGTTTACCTTGTGTTTGGTTGTTGCCACGCCCCCTCTAGTATTTCCAGATGTCCACAAAGACATAGGGCATGATAAAACAGTCATCGGCTGATAAAATCCTCCCATCACTTGTGGGTAAAATGATAAACCTGTAATCAAAGGATAGAAATAATTAAAAAAAAACATGATCACAACATATAGCATGAATACGACAAAATGACATACTGGTAAAATCTTCTTAAAACGATAAAATTGTCATGACAAAAAAAATAATAATAGAAGCACATGTCTATACCTGTTGGCACCTTAGAAGCACGTAATAATGTATTTTTCATTTTACTATTTTTGACTTTTTCAAAGGTTTTGTCACTTTGATTTTGCCAAGAGAGATAACTTTAAAGCATACAATATTTCATTCAGGGGAAGATAATTAACCAATTAAACCACATTATACGTTTTCGTTGTATTTGTCAAAATGAATTCCTCCTATATTTCAATATAGCATTGGTTAATTTTGCACTTTATATTCAGTAAGTGAGTAATGGTATTTCATTGCAACCAACATAATAAAAACTAGATGTGACGCAATAAAAGCTTTGAACCATTAATAGGAGTGAGAATTTGAGAATGAAAGTCTGTATACATATTATTTTCAGGAAACCTGTAATTTCAGCAAAAATCAGCGGAGCGGAACAAAATGTAAACTTGATCTGTAACTTATCTTAATAAACTCACATATTAAAAATCAGCTGAATTTGTGAAGGCGTTTAGAAAAAAAGTCCGTATAGCTGTTATTTTCATGAAATTTTCAGTCTAAAGCCTGCAATTTCGGGAAAAATTCAGCGGTGCGGAACCATAAGTTAACTTGATCTGTGACTTATCATAGTAAACTTGCATACTAAAAATCAGCTCAATATGTGAAGGCGTTTAGAAAAAAGTACGTATAACTGCTATTTTCATTACATTTTCGAAGTCCAGAGCCCATAATTCCGGCAAAAATCAGTGGAGTGAAACCAAACGTTTTTTTCAACTAACCTGATTGTGGATAGTAGGGCCACTGCATGTTTCCTGGTTTGCCATCAGTGATTGGAGGTTGTTGTGACAACTGGACAACAGGCATGTGTCCACCGTGATACATTGCCCCTGTACCCTGTGTCAAACCAATTCCATACATGTTATTAAAGGCTATTTTGGGCTGTCCACTTGCTGGTTTCATTACGAGACCTGCTGTTGTCATAGGAAAAGGTGGAGACAACATACTTACATCCTCTGTTTTGAATGACTTAAATTTACGGGTTTCATCGAGATCAGTGAAATGTCCCCGTTTTAATCCCTTTGAAGATTCCTGTTGCACACTGTATTTACTGGTCATGTTGAGTAAAACCTGAATGCTATCTTGTTTTGCCTGTTCTAAATACATCTTTTCCTGTTGTTTTGTATGTTCCCGAAGTGTCTCCTGTGTCAATGACACGAGAACATTAGGTTCCTGAATGGCTGAATCTATTATCTGTGCTTCTCGACTGGTCTCCTCAACCATTTCGTCTGTGTGACAAGAAGGACTAAGGACCATATCTTCTTTCTCAGATACAAGAACCTGCAAGAAACAATTCTTCTTTGACAAAAGAGCTAACACGTAACTTCAAAACTACTACCTTTTGTAGTCTTTTGTTAGACTATTATTTAAAACAACACTTATTGTTAGGGATGGTTGAAAAAATAATCTCTATTCATTCTAATTTTTTCATAATCATCAAACTAAAATTCATATAAACAGCATTGAGATTGCTAAATCTATTTCAACATAAGCTAGTAGACTTAAGATGGCATTATTTTTGTGTCTCTTTTGCTAATACAGCTTGTCATGTTTTCAAAACCTTGTCCATTCTTGGCTTTAAATGTTTTGAGTCTGAGTCCTTCAGTCTCAATTTTTGACAATAATTGTATAAGTGACATTTGTACAAATCAATTAAGGTTTGAATTTCAGACAATCACTTTATAAGTGATATTTGTGAAATTAAGGTGTGAATTTAATACAATTACTGGATAAGTGATAAAAAAGTTTTAAATTGTATGAACTTTTGACTTGAACAAAGTGGGGTGCCAATAATCACACATTGAGAAAAGTTTATACAACTTAGGGTTGAGATCTCACAAAACATGTTTAACTCCGCCGCATGTTTGCGCCTGTGCCAAGTCAGGACCCTGTGGCCTTTGTTAGTCCTTTATGTTTTTTTAAATTTTAGTTCATTAATATGTTTCGGAGTTTAGTATGACGTCCATTTTCACTGAACTAGTACACATTGTTGTTTAGGGGTCAGCTGAAGCCCCCCTCCGGGTGCGGGATTTTCTCGATGTGTTGAAGATCCGTTGGTGGCCTTGGGCTGTATTCTGATCTTTGGTCGGGTTGTTTTCTCTTTGACACATTCTCCAATTCCATTCTCAATTTTATTAATGAGATCTAAAATTGACTATGGATGTGGAAAGAACAATCCAAAGAGGAAGAAGAATAAATTTGTGCAATTGTCAAGAACATATCATAAATGACCATTTGTAAACGTACTCCCAAAAGCAAGAATTCAATTTATTGCATAGCAATATAATATTTCCCACAGAAAGTAAACAAAATTTAGCGTGCAATAAGTATAGATTATTACATGGCATTTTTCATATCAGACCCTTTATCGGCCCTCGTTCATGATATCAGCCCAAGAGCCGTAGGCTCGAGGGCTGATATCATGAACGAGGGCCGATAAAGGGTCTGATATGATAAATGACATGTAATTATCTTTTTTTCATATACTTCAACAGAAGAAATACAGACAAGAACTATTAATTAAAATTTTGTCTTTCCATGAATTTTTAGATAATAATTTACAGACAACCAAATACAAATTTCTTAACTTTAATTATTTTTATTGATATTACAAGCATTTTATTTATCTTGTCACAACAGTTATCATGAACTTAGTTTGAAAATATGCTCCTCAACCATTTTGTGAAAAGTCTTAAATCACTTGCGGTTTTCCGCTCTGTGTTGTCGTTTTTGAACAAATTTCCGGAAATGCACGACCTTGCATGTGATAAACGTCACGGAAATTAACGGAAAGGCATGTGATAACATTCCGGAAGCAGTCAATAAAGGTTCCTTTATCAGCCCGCTGAGGAAATTCTTAGGAATCTGATCAATAAACCTAGTAATCCTTTCATAGCCTTTTAATATTTTTAAATGTTATTGAACTGTAAAATTTTAGTAATATTTTATACAAGTATATGATAAATTCTAATATTGCACTAGTGCAATAAATCTTAAAAATTTATGACGTCAACAACGACAAAATCTTAGTTTAAACCAATTTTTACTTTCAAATATTATATTGCTATACAATAAAAGGGTTATTGCATGAATATTGGGGAATATTGTCCCTCGTAGAACATATATTGCACTCGCAAGCTCGTGCAATATAAAATTCTACTCGGGACACCTATAATATTATTTCAATAACATTTCGCATGCAACAATTAATCAATCAATCTTAAATTGGTACAAAGTTTTTAATCGATTTTTGTTTTTTTAAATTTATAGATTTTCGTAGAACTAAGTTTACAAAGATGAGTCTCCATGTAAATTGATTGATTGCTGTTTTGTCAACGTATATGTGTTCCGCCTTACAGACTTTGTGATAAACTATGCCATATTATCTGTTCTTGTTGGAACAAATGTTCTATAACATTTATTCCGTAAGGAACAAATACTGTAATATTTGTTCCAGTGGAAATAATATTACAGAATATTTTTTCCACTTGGAACTTATATTATGAAGGAACTCATATTTTTTTGACAGCTTGCTTCGTGTCCAGTGTCCCAGATGATAGTGATAAAAAGCAGCAGGAATTTGGACTATCACTGTAAACAATGGTTATATCCATGGAGATAATCTATTGTAAATGTTAAGTCTTATTCCTAAAAAAAGTTATGGCCCAAAAACACAGCTATTTTCATAATGCATTTCTTTTAGACAATAAATTCAAATGAAAAAAATCGCTCCTGGTCTATCCCAAAAGATTTTTACAGTGTAGTGTACTACTTTTGGGACAAATAATATCAAAATTATAGAAAAGTCTGCCAGCTCTGACTCAAAATATGGACAGTTCTATGGGGTCAATAATTCAGTTTGACAGCTTCAGACATACTACTTTTTGACCTTTTTTTAACTGGACCAATTTATAACTTTACAAAAAAATTGATCATCTAAATTTTTTTTAAATTTTATCCCTCTACTTAATATTTCATGCATAAAATATCAATAATTAAATCTGGAAAGTGTATGAAAACAATTTGCAAATGATACACTGTCCACACTGGGGATTATATTTGTAGACAACGAAAATCAAATGACGATAACTATGGATTGGATAATTTTTTCCCCCTCAACTTTTAAACAAGGACAAATGTGACGAAATATAGATGACATCAATTCAGTAATCATTGTGAAGTTTTCAGTAATTTGAAAAATACAACTGGATAAATTTTTATATTACTCCAAACTACCATTCTAATATTTTTTTAATTTCTGCAATCTTTTTTTAATATAATATCCCATATTTTCATTCCATGAGGGATTGACACAAATCAATGCTCACATTATTTTGTGAATCTAGAGTTTTTACTTTATAAAAGTCATTAAAATCCTCATCACACTATATCATTCACTACTTCAAAAGTTTTTTGAATATAAAAAATACCTTAGTGCTGCTACAAAAACTAGGTGGTTTTGGATATGGAATGTCGACTCCAAAATCTGTTACTTCATCAGAATCTGTAAAGGTATCAAAACCATAACTATGCGGTGATTATGACTTTTAGAATAAAGAATAGCAATAAAACGTGTCAACTTGTTAAATATCAATAAGAAGATCTTTTAAGCGTAAATATTTATATTAAGTCTTATAAAAAAATCTTTGGGAATTCACCATTCCAAATTCTAATGCATTCTGGGTAATTAGGTGTACACCAAACCTTACGATTTGTTAACAGTGTGAAATCATTTTCCAAAAATCTTTTAGATTCTGAAATGGTGCACATATAAATTTCTATAAATATTATACCAAAAACATTATCAAAGTTTTCATTGTATAACTACTAAATTAGTTATACCAACCAATGAAATTACTTCCGTCTGTTTTACTGTCATTACCACTTCTTTTGTCTGATGATGATGATGATGATGATGAATAGGTTTTCGGTTGGCTCGTCAAAAATCTAAATATAAAAGACACGCTGACTTAAAAAATCTAATATATCTAAATTTGGATAAAATGTTCTTTATTGTTAACTTCTTGATTTTATATTGGACGTACTGGATGGCTTGTTTTAAAGCTTGGAAATTTAAAATTTAAGGGTGCATTTTCACAATTTAGCAAACATAGAAAGGCCTTTTGTGATGTTATATCTCTGAGAAACATCATAATTTCACAAAATGAAACTTTATTTAATCTTAAAGGACTAATCTGAAAATCATCAAAATCAAAATGACTCTTATCTTTTTTAAAACTTGCTATGTATACAAATTAGATAAGGATACATAAATGCAAACTTGAGTTATCATGAGACTTATGAATCAAAGTATGGGAGCACTTCAAAGACAGTTTCTGTCTACTCAATGGTTTTGTGCCTTCTATTTTCCCATCTTTATGCAATTGAATGACACCTGACAGGAGACTATTGTGATCTAATTCAGACTATTTACTTCATCATTTAAAAACTTTTCAAAAAAGGTTATCAAACATTGAAGTTTTGTAATTAAACTTTACATTCAGTAACACAGAAAAACGATTGTTTACTACAATTCTACATGGCATTTCAACTGCAAGTAAACAGCTGTACCAGGTGCCCTTTAATGTCAGTCACTTTTACATTTGACATTTGCAGTGGCCAGACAATTAACACTTATCTTAGTTGTGTCATACTTTCTTTGAAAAACGTTGCAAGTGAGACAATTGCAATTGTGAATATTTTACAACAATTTTACTTGTGTCATTCACAGTTCTTTACGCTTGTCTTTCGTCAAATCAAATGAAAGTCATCATTCTGTTATGAGTGACCTTTTGATTTGTTTGTGTAGCTAAATTGTTAGTTATGGCTTACGTTTTGATGTTGTTTGCGTAGCTAAGTTGTTCGTAAGTTCCTGTTAATTTGTCATCCAATATCGCATTAGACTGCTCATCTCTGGACGCAGACTGTAAACATAAAATCGGTTACGTCTTTGTTTATAATCTCAAATGAATAAATAGATAACCAATTGTATTTAACTAAGGGGTTATCCCTAATGGAAAATATTATGATATATTCTACTCTTTTATTTTGACAATTGACTTAGTAAATGCTGTTTCTGAATACATTGCAGGTGAAATTCTGCTAATTTATTTGACAATCTATTAGGTAAATTCTGTTTCTGAATAAAACGCAGGTGAAATTCTACTAAATCAGTTTGACAATCAGCTTTAATAGTAACTTCTGTTTCTGAATAAATGCCGGTGAAATTCTACTAGTTTATTTTGACAATTGACTTAGTAAATGCTGTTTCTGAATAAAACGCAGGTGAAATTCTTATTTTGACGATCAACTTTTATATGTTTATCAAGTGGAAGGAAATCACTGCATTTTGAATTAAACTACAAATTTGACTGGCAAAAATTACTCTTTTCAGACCCTTGATTGCTTTCATTTAATTTTCTTAAAAGGTACCACTGGCTATTGTTAAATCTTGCAGTTGTAATATATGAAAGAATGTACGTTTATTATGAAAATGGCATGACAGGTTATTTTTTACAAAATTACCTGAAATTTCTTTTTAGCTTCTTGTGTTTTGATTGAAGTCTCCTTCTTGCCACAATCTTAAATTAATCATTTTAGAAAATTAAAATAGCCTGACATTTTGAATCTTCAAGTACCAGAAATAAATGCTGGTCAACACAATTCACTCCTCCCTTTGTTATGTGAATGATGCTTTGTGTTTTCTCATTTCAATATAAGAATAAAAGAAATTTGAAGTATATAGATATAAGAAGATGTGTTATGAGTGCCAATGACACACCTCTCCATCCAAGTCACAATGTATAAAAGTAACCCATTATAGGTCAAAGAACGGTCTTCAACACGGAGCCTTGGCTCACACCGACAGCAAGCTATAAAGGGCCCCAAAAATTACTAGTGTAAAACCATTCAAACGGGAAAAACAACGGTCTAATCTATATAAAAAACGAGAAACGAGAAACACTTATGAACCACATCAACAAACGACAACTACTGAACATCAGATTCCTGACTAAGGACAGATGCAAACAATTGCAGCTGGTTTAAATGTTTTAATGGTACCTCACCTTCACCCTTATCTGAACCAATAGTGTAACATCACAACATAGAAAGACACACTATAAAATATCAATTGAAATGGATTTACTCAATCAAAAGACATATTAACACAAATCATAAACTGAACGAAAAAATTTGATCTATAATACAATGTAAATACAAAATCAATAAAATAAGGGATGAATAATTAAAGTAACAGTATTATACCGCTGTGAAATGTTAAACAATTTCACAAAAACAACAATAACCTTAAACAAAAATCCGCCATTTACAATAATATTATACACAGGTAAATGAAAATAACTTTGTAGTTAGGGATACTGTTTAAAAGAAGATAGGAAATATCTTTAAAAAATAAATAATTTTGATGGTTATAGTTCGAAGAAGTGAAAATCTATAGTAATACCATACACTTATCAAAACTGGTATAAAGACCAGATATAACCCTGAATAAGTAAACATTAAATAACAAAAAAGCATTACAAATAGTATCAACAGGTCAAATTAACAAGAAAGTACGATTTAACAGCTAGTTAAAAGCCAAAAAAAAATTAATAATAAAAAATCATGCATCAGAGACTAAAATCAACTAAAACACATCCAAGGGATTTAGTATTTTAACGTCATATACAGTCAAAGAAGACATGATTAGTGCAATGCCAAAAATAAATGTATCGACAGGATAAGTCATTTAGAAAACAACCTCATGACACAAATAAACTTAAGCAGCTAACCTCCAAAAATCATTCAGATTACAAAATGAAATAGGAAATGCACAATGACATAATGAAAGCGAGATTCTGTTGATGAAAATCAAATAATAATCCTGCAAGTAATTTAGCAGGAGTTACTCATACAAAATACTCCCTCTTAGTAACTATGGCAAGTATCAATACTGCTGTTACAATTACGAACAAAACGTAATAAAACAGGGCTCTCTAAGTAATCTTTTCTGTGCTACTGCTGCTGCTTAGGAATATTGTATAGCAGAGAAAATTTAAATAAAACGACTTTCAATTTAAAATAAATAAATTATGAAGAATATTTTCCTTACATAACAAACAGCTTTTTTACAAAAATTAAAACTTGAGAAATTAGAACTTTTCTTCTGAAAACTAACAAACTGAAAGTGCATGATAACCTTCTTTAGGAATATGTCATGACTAAATGGGGAAAACAAATTTTCATTGCATGACAATGGTTTAAAAATAGTTATTTTACTTAAATTCATTAAAACACATCAATCTGAGATAGGAGGTTGAAGTTGGAAGTTTTCCCCATATGTTTCGCTACCATGTATTGATTTATATTAAATGTTCGTTTGTTAATGACCTTACAGGACTTTACAGACTGGAAAGATTCCCCTTATGTACCTTTGTCATGTATTGGTTTTTGTTACGTGTTTGAATGTAAATAGCATTATCAGAACTTTGATTAACATATTAACATATTAAAAAGGTTCCCCATATGAACCCTTGTCATGTATTGTTTTTCTTAAGTGTTTGAATGTAAATAGCCTTACAAGGACTTTGATTAACATATTAAAAAGGTTCCCCATATGAACCCTTGTCACATATTGTTTTTTGTTTAAAAGTGTTTGTTTGCAATTGTTCATATATGGACTTTGATTAACAGATTGGAAAGGTTCCCCATATGTACCCTCATCATGTATTATTTTTTTAAGTGTTTTCTTTTGTAATTGCTCTTACCAGGAGTTGGACTAACAAATTGGAAAGGTTCCCCATATGTACCCTTATCATGTATTGTTTTTGTTATGTGTTTTTTTGCAATGGCTCATATATGGATTGACTAATAGACTGTAAAGGTTCCTCATATGGACCCACCGTCATCATGTGGTTTTTTTTCTGTTGTTATTGCTCTTACTAGGACTTGGACTAACAGATTGGAAAGGTTCCTATACATACCCTCGTCATATATTGTGTTTGTTAAGTGTTAGTTTGTAATTACTCTTACTAGGAGTTGAACTAACAGATTGGAAAGGTTCCCATATGTACCCTCCGCGTATATTGTATTTTGTTAAGTGTTTGTTTGTAATTGTTCTTACCAAGAGCTGGACTAACAGAAACTTCTTCAGTCGGTTCTTCTACAATGTTTAGGACCATAGATCTAGCTTCATCTACTACTGGCTGAAAATACAAATTATTTCTATATACAATGACCAGCAGCGTGTTTGTGACTTCTGTAAAATCGGTATTTTCTCATAGGGTTTGTTTTTAGATATTATAGTAAAAAATATCCTATTGTGTATAATTTGGATTTTTTTTACGAACGCTCAAAATCAAAGAAATAAAAATGTGAAAATAAAACTCACGAAACAGGTTTGGCCTTAAAATTGCAATTGATTTTACTTCAAATCCATGACATATAATCGACAAAAAGTATTTCAATCAATGATTGTTGTTCTAAATACTATAGCTGTTAATTAGCCTACGGGTTATGCGGCCCAGTAGTGACCTTGAAAAACAATCAACACAGATGCATGGAGCACATGAGAAATAAGTGAGAGGAAAGAGCAACCTTTTTTATTTTTTTTTTTATATTTTCTTGCGTTCCTTTTTATTTATTAATCTTTGGTATATCAGCTGTTAATTCATTAGTTGTGTTTGAAAGATTTCTTTCTGAATTGGTTAATACTATATTACTACCACAATGTTCTTTTTTCGTCACAGTACATCACTTTGCACTTGCAATGTGTTTGCTGGGTCATTGCATATGGAAAAAATTACTCACCTGTAGTAACAATTTTATGACTAATCAGTAATTTTTGTGATATTGTTCTTGATAAAAATTACTCACCTGTAGTAACAAGTTTCTGGTTAATCAGGGATTTTGTGATATTATTCGTGGTAAGAATTATTCACTTTTAGTAACAATTTTCTGATTAATCAGAGATTTTTGTGATATTGTTTTTTTAAGAGTGACTTACCTGTAATAACTATATTCTGATTAATCAGAGATTTTTGTGATATTGTTTTTTAAGAGTGACTTACCTGTAATAACAATTTTCTGATTAATCAGAGATTTTTGTGATATTGTTGTTTAAGAGTGACTCACCTTTAATAACAATTTTCTGATTGATCATAGATTTTAGTGATATTGTTTTTTAAGAGTGACTCACCTGTAATAGCAATGTTCTGATCAATCGGAGATTTTTGTGATACCGCTCTGGTTCCTCAGCAATACAATCCTGACGTGGTGGTGGTGGTGAAAAAACATCTATGTTTTGTGGTCCCCTGTTATAAAGCATTGATAATTTCATCTTTATGGCTAGTATGGCCACATGTGTAAAGAAATAGATGAAGTAAAATATCAGTAATAAACAATGAGAATGTTTTTAAGAGGAAAAACAAATGGGCGTTGATGTTTTTTATCTACTTGTTATAACACGTGCAAAAGTTGTTAATTTGATCTTTCTTTCTATTGGTTCCCTTCCATATTATCACTTATAGTTTTGACCTTTCCATACAGTTTCCTGTGAATGTAAGTATAATCAAAGCCTACGATCCTTGGTGTAAGTGTCTCCATGGCAATCATACCATAACTCCTAAATAGTTTGCACAATTGCATAAAAAAAGTGTTAGTAAACATCACAATAATTCATTAAAATTTTATCGACAAGCTTACTGCCTACATATGGCTGACCGTGTTTACTTTGACCCAAAGTTACATCTATGAACCTCGTAAAAATTGCTAATTTGTAAAAGTAAAAAATTAAGTGGTTTGGTCGATCAGATTGGCACGAAAGAGGAGTTTCCCATTAAACCCCAGCCTCCACAATTAATATGAAAGGAGATCTCTTATAGATTACTACACGTTAAGTAAAATTTCAAAGTTAATATACTTGGTTCCATGAAAGGGACCACCAACTACAATATATTTTCAAACCTACTTAATGACAGTATGCTGGCCGATGATAAATTCCAATCTTTTGGACCATGGATTAATAAAACTGGACCATTCTGTCTTTACATAACTCCAGTCCCCATTGTGGGTCCGAAATCTAATCTTTGGACTACTGATGGTTGTGCCCTTTGAGCTTATTACTACAGTAGAAAAAAACAAACAATGTACTCTTAAACTGACATTACTTCAAAAATCTTTAATACTTCTTTTATTTGGATCCACAAACATTTTTTTGCACTCAATACATTTAGTAATAAAAATTTTTGACCAGAGGACATTATGACACATTTATTAATACGAATCTGTGTCCAGATGAAATCATGCCACACTCAACACTATATTTCGATATTCAGTGAACAAGGATCAAATCAGCAGCCAAAAGATGGATCAAATTCACACTCACCTTGTCTATAAATATTATAAAGCTGTTCAAATTCCTCTGGATGATAGAAATCAAATATGGACATTCCAACCATATCTTGTGGTAAATATCCCAATAATGGTATGGCACTGAAAGTTACTAAGCAAATTCAAATGGACCTTTTCCCGATGTAAGCATTGAATGTGAATAGATCGAGAACAACACAAATAAATGTACAAAACTCAAGACGACCTTTTCTTTAAATTGTATGCACTAATAGTAAAAATGTTTTAACGGATAACCTACTTTATCAAAATATACATCTTTAATTTTTGAACCTGCACAGACAGATTTTGAATTGCTATATTCACGACAAGACAGCAATTCTATATTGAATGTCCACATGAAAAGAGCAGACCAGCGCACTCGAAAACTTAAATTTGACAAATAGGTGTTAAAAGTACAAATTCAAATGTCAATTGTAAGTAAAGGTAAAGTGTGTAATACTGTAGTGTGTATTTTGATGTATTTTATCAAACGTAAAACATTGGTGATGGAACATTGTAAACACAGGGCCCCTTGTGCATACTTTCCTGGGTTGTACAAGGTAAATTGTATTCAGGTGTTTTGCAATAAATGTATTTCAAGTAAAACAAAATGTGACAAATAGGTATATTTTCTGAAATTTGTAACATGGTAAGGACTTTGTGGAACACTCCGAAATTTGGTAAGCTAAAAGATCGTTAGATTTTGTATGTACATGATTTTTCCATTTTTTTTTATCATGAATATGCAGCAAAGATTAACATTATTTAGATGTCAAGTTCACAAGCTTCTAATGCAATTATCTCGATAAATACTGAAAATAAAGGATCATGTATTTGTATATATATTTCTAACAACACAGTTTAACGAATAATTTCTTTATAATATACGATTATTGTTTAGAAATAAATAATTTTAATCAGTATCGTCACCGGCATTGTTTTATCATTGATTTTCTTGATTTTTTCATAAAAAGAGTGAATTTTCTATTGTTCTCTGTCACTAGATTTCCCACCGTATGGAAGAAACAGATATCATACATTATGATACAAATAGTGACCTTAACTTGTTAAAAGACTGGTTTATATTTATAAGGGTTCATTTGAATTTTTTTACTTAACTCTGTATTGCTAGGTGTGTGAACATAATTATACATACTTTGGGTGTATATATGTGTAAGAACAGAAGAGACTATGTCTTGTACCAAAAGTTTTCTTCTCTGTAGACATTTCTGACCAATCTGTAAAATTGTATAAAAATAAAAAACTAAAAAATGTATTTATGTCACAGTACAATACTACCCATATGTAACCAAGGTAATGGCTGTTCATGAATTGACCTTACAGGATAATCTAGAATTTATTAGGATATACCTTTGCTATTATCCTTCACTTAAAATGTGTATGCCCAATATCCATTAAAAGTTAATCCCTTTGTTTAATTATTCTTTGAAATTTCAATCCTGAAAATTAGATTTAATGGCACCACACTGCTTGCACTATCACATTTATAAGTTCAGTGAACTGAGGAATCTGAGTCAAACCCTATTTAGGTATATATTTATTTGTAATTAACATCGTAATGAAGACATGTATGAGACCATAACTTCTTGATTAACTACCTTAATTAAAAATTTTAACCTACCGTATAGCAAAACTTAAACCGAATACAGTACAGACACAAGTATGAAGGGATAGATGGATTAACTTAAATAAGGATGCATATACAAGAACATATAATACCCCTGTTTTGGAGTTGAAAATTATTGTCTTAAAACATGTTGAAAAATACAAGAAAACACAACCACATAAAACAAGTTCAAGGGTCATAGTTTACGAAAGTATGTATTAGTAAAATAAGATGATATGGAAATTAAAAAGTATAAATATAAATAAGAAGATGTGGTAGGAGTGTAAAACTCATTATTTCAAAATTTTACTTAACATTCTCTCATTTCTCGCTAAAGGTAACCAATATTCAATCTTACTTTTATTATATGCAGAGTTCAAAGGTTGACACTCCAATAATAAGAAGTGCTTGGATTTGAATTTGTCTGAATTAAATTTCTTCATAGAAACTGATGCTTGAAATGATGTATACTGATCTTTCTTTTCAAGGTTGAAACCACTGTTCAGTGATTTGAAGTGCCTGAAATAAAATCAAAATAGCTTTTAGTTGTGCATTAAATAATAAAAAGAAAACTGGATTCCCTTCAAATTTGAGTAAAAATCAATTTCTGAGCTTTGCACATGTTATAGTGACCTCAGTTAATAAAAGTTTAACTGGTTCAAAATAATACTTCAGGGCTATACTGTAAACCAACTAATTTTCAGGATACCTATTTTTTCATGATTTGTAGTGCTTGAAATAAAATAAAAATAGCTTTTAGCTGTACATTGAATTATAAAAAAGAAAGAACAAAGACTTTTTTTCACATTTCTTTGGATTAAAAACAATTTTCAGAGCTTTGCACATTTTTTAGTGGCCTCAGTGAATAAGACCATTCAAGATTCTCTGGGTCAAAATAGTACTTCAGAGCTATACTGTAAACTTTTTTTCCAGATAATTTTTTCCATGATTAACCCTTTCTAATCTGTTCCGCAGCAATTTATGTTTTCATGATTTTTTAACTGTCTTGGTGTATTCATAGTAAGAAACGATCCAAGTTTGAAATAGTCACAATTTTAATTCTTACCAAAGTCACAAAAATAAATCGCTCACCACTATGAAGGATTACAGCATGTAAAATGAAATCGTTACAGCTGAAAAATATTTTGGTCTTAAATAAAACATGTGTCCTCATCAAAGGTGTTTTTTGTCAAAATACAACTATAGAGCTCTTGAGTCAAAACCGCACATAGCTTGGTTGTGTCTTTAAATCATTTACATATACTTTTTAAAAAAACAAAATTGCCCACCATTTCAACATTAGACGATGAAAAGAAGTCTTACCTTAATCTACAGTATAAAACCTTTGTAAGTGCTTCTGAGATGGCATTGCCATCTTCATCAACTAAAAAAACAAGTCGTGATAAAATATCCTTGTAATATTAATCAGTCAATATCTATCTCAATCAAATGGCATTGTTGAGCCAATCGGTCAATCTCTATAAAGTTAGCTTTTAATTATTCTTAAATGCATGATGATCACTCAGTTTAATGGTTATCTTAATGTTTATCTTATAATAGCAAGAATGGGTTTATTCCCCTATATTTGAAAGACAATCCTTTAACATGTTTAATTAATGAAATATTTCTTCTTTCTATATGAATTTGGTTAACATGTTATGGATGTGGGGTGTACATCAATGAGGTATAAATGTTAGGGGACAAAAAACCAATGTCTTTATAATATGTCAATCACACAAGTTATAGAGTTTTGAAAAGTTGTGAATAAATCTTAACAAACGATAACGAATCTGATATCAATTACCAATTGCCTTAAATGACACTAAAAAAGGTAAAAGGATATCTAATGACAAAAGCTTCTTAAGAATACCATCATGTCCTTTTTTAATCAGTTACAAATTTTAGAAACATTACTTTTATTGTTCATTCTTAAAATCCTATTATTGACAACAAAATCTGCCAGATAAATGAGCAGTTATATATTACACCTTGTATGATCTTGACATTTAACAACTATTAATTATATGACCAGCAATCCCCGACTACACCTTGTGTGATCTTGATATTCAACAACTGTTCATCATATGACCATCAATACCAGTCAAGCCACATTTATAAACATAGAAGGAAGTAAATTCAACCATGATGACCTATGCTGATCCTTTATTATTATTCTATCATAAGCTGTTTCACTGCCTTAACTGAAACTTATACAATTGCTAGCATCGCATTTTCTAGATCTGTTCATCATATCATTATTTAAAAATTACTAACTGTTGATTGATTGTTGGTATTCAATGTAACTTTTAGCTATATCCTGTGGGCCAAATTTCATTCGTGGAGGAAGCAGGTGTGCCTGGAGAGACCACCGGCAGGAAAACTGACAATCCTAGTCAATTAAGATTGGTGTCAAACGTACCTGCCATGTGCTGGGATCGAACGCACAACCTCAGTTCTGACAGACCAGTGGTGAAGTAGATTAACTTATAATACCACTCAACTACCGAGCATCCCTTTGAAAAATATCGCTTGTCTGTTGACCTGACAATGATGAGCAGGTAAACAAATCACAATAAGTGATCATTTATATCATAAAATACTACTATAAATGAACTTGAAAAAAAAATCTGTAAAAATAGAAAGAGCAGATACTTTTCCAACGAAAATATCTGAACAGAATTTTGAAATAGGGTAGTGTGTTTTGATATATATGAATCACAAAATTCAAATGAAATCATGAAACGTCAAAGCCTTACAGTGGCCTCATCTTCCGTTTTTAATTCACATTTTTAATAGATTTCGTGCACTAGAAAACTCCAACATATTAGGTATTCAGTCTGCCTCACTTGTCTAAATTTACGAATGCACCTGCCTTAATTTATCTGTAAATTAGTTAACAAAATCTGCTGGGTTCTAACAGTATCAGAAAACATTTTAAGTTTTAATAGGCTATTTGTAAAATATTTTGATTGAATTATGTAGAGCATAAGCGTTGCCATTATATTTTTTGGCCAGTGAATAGATAAACACAAACAAAGTTTCATCATTAAATATTTTTTGGGCGACAGTTGTACTCTATATCATTTTCAAGCACGCAAAAGTCAAATTGTCATCATTATGTGTAATTTCTGCATACTATAGCATTTATTGTCATTGTATGGCTGTTTAACTCATGAAAAAAGGTATATTTTGCCAAAAAAGCAATGTTTTATCAAAAAACATAATTCAACATTTACTTATGAAAATCAGATAATTTGAAATATGTTTAATTTGAGAGCCAATTTGGTCCCAAATCTAGCATCCTCCTCTAGAAAACAATATAGTTACATTTAAATGAAAAACATGTGTCAAATTTGTCAGGATCGTCTAGGACAAAACTGCTGTTTACAGTGACAACATCTTTTCTGTGTAAAAAACTGGTCAACTCTCGCCCAATCCAACTGTCCTGTAAATTAAAATAACACTTAATAAATATGGTACGTCTAAAAGAATTTTCTGGATTTACATTACCAAGGAACGCTTAAACCAAAAATTTGAAATTTAAAGAAGTTTAAATAGAGGGATACTCGAGGAGATAAATAATAAAAAAGCATCGAAAACTAAAAGTTAATTTTACGTTAGTGATATCAGTACTATCTTATAACACTTACCACAGGGTAACCTAGAATCTTCCTCAGACTTGGTGAGACCTGTACTATCTTCATTTCTTTTGTACTAACTAGAATCTGTAAGTCATCCTATAAAATAAAAGCATTTTTTACATTGGAATTTTAACATATTCAGAAAAAGATTCAAAAAGGAAAATTGTTTAAAGTCAATACTTAAGTAGCTGGTCAGTTTTCGACAAATAAATCCTTCTAAAAATTTATCACCCTACGACACTTCTATGAGATTTTATAAATGATAGGGTTTCATTACTTATACTGCTAAACCTTAGATTATCGAAAGTTAAACCATCATTATCATGTGACTTCCTGGCACTTACCTAGAAAAAATACAAAATCCAAATTTGTCTATCGACGATAATGGGATCTCTATGATGGCATGATGTTTCAAACATACAACAACTCATAATGATATGTTTTTCTACACTGAACAAAGAAGGAGAGATGATAATAAAAAAAACATAACAAATGGAAAAACGGACAACACCATGCCAAAAATAGTAACGACAAATTATGTAAATAACAACGTATTTACCCTATTCGCAATTATGTGCATTTTGTAACTAAGTAATTGCGTCTATCCAAAACATGTATCGTTAAGTGAGAAAGTAAAAGTAGCCTACCACAGCCTTGAGTGACAAGATATTCATTTCCAATTCACTTTCTGATGTACTACAAATACTGATACACCTCTCTGATGATACATTCTTGTCATCTGAAAATAAAAACATTCTACTAATAAGGCCAAACAAAAATATAAATGTGTTTAGAGTTTTTTCCTAAACATAAATAGGGTAGAGAAAACTTTTTATTACTTTATTTTTTTCACCCGAAGTTTATGGAAACCACATGTAATTTTGTTATGATTTACTATTAAAAAAATGCCAATAAAGAGTTAATGGGATTTTGAGACATAAAAAAGAAAAGGTATGAAAACCCTAAACACCGTGTTTTTAATTTTGGCCTTAGTTTAATTTCATCAATTTGCATACCTGCATACAGAAAAGAGTTAAAATATATAAGTTCATAAAGACAAAACTAAAACTAATTGGAACCATAAATCATGCCTTTTGCAATATTTTCTTTAGAACACATATTGTTTACCTTCATAAGCAAATATGTAGCCCCAGACTAAAGATACTGTTGACCATACACAGTTAGTTGATCTCTAAAAAGCAGATACAATTACCTTCCTTATTCTTTTGTATGGAGTTGATGACATGTCTTAATGCCCTAAGAGTTGACCCCTGGGCACCACTTTGTGCTGCAGGATAGACTATCTGTTTCAATTTTCTCAGATACTGCTTCAGTTTTTCTTTTGTCTTATCCTTCTGAGTGGTACTATTGGCAAAATCACTACTGCTCATTCAAAGAAAAAACAAACTATTGTCGACATAGAGTATTGATAACATATTAACGTCTGTGTTAAAAAGGCACCTACGTTTTAATATTGTATCTATATTGTGTTAAAGATCAAACTTATTCGTTCAGTGTATGTTTACTTGTTTTTGTTTAAATGTCTTTTAGATCGAGTTAAGCCATTTCAATTGATATGCTATAGTGTGTCTTTGTATGTTGTAATGTTACACTACTGTCTCAGGTAAGGGTGAAGGTTGGCGCCAGTGAAAACGTGTAAACCCGCTGCATTTTTATGCACCTGTCCTAATACAGGAGCCTGTTGTTCAGTGGTTGTCGTTTGTTGATGTGGTTCTTAAGTGTTTCTCGTTTTTTTATATAGATTAGACCGTTTGTTTTCTTGTTTGAATTGTTTTACACTAGTCATTTTGGGGGCCCTTTATAGCTTGCTGTTCGGTGTGAGCCAAGGCTCCATTTTGAATGCCGCAGTTTGACCTATAATTGTTAACTTTTTATACCTTGTGACTTGCATGGAGAGTTGTCGCATTGGCACTCATACAACAGCTTCTTATTTATATAGGTTACAGAAAAGACATCATTTAATATTTATTGCAAAAAAACAATAATAACAAATTATCAGTTGAAAATGTTGATATATATCACTGACATGTTAACAAGGTCCTACAACATTTTGTTTGAGGTTGAGAAAAAATTAATACTGATTATGATGCAAACAAAGCAGTACATGTTCATGAGGGTTTGGATTTTCATAAATTTTGACACATATAGAAATTCATTTTAACAAAAACTGAAGTTTTTTTCTGGATACTTACTATGGACACATATATACTTAAATAATATCTGTTGAGGCTTATCTGAAAACCCACTTCTTGGACAAACCTATATCCATTGGTTGAGGGAGGCTTCTTGAGATACTAAACTATTACATACCTACATCCACTGGTTGGTATAGGCTCATGAAGACACTCACTTAAATATTACATACCTACACCCACTGGTTGAGGGAGGCTCAAGAAGATACTCGCTTAAATATTACATACCTACATCCACTGGTTGATGGTGGCTCCTCTGGAAATTCACTATCACTGAGAGACATACTATATGAACCACTGTTACTGCTCATAAATCTGAAATCACACATTAAAAACATATTTAAATCTTCATGAAGGGTAAATCTTGCAAATATTTGTAGTCTGCATACATCTATCAAAAGGTAGTTGAATAAAAGTGTAGATGAGATGAAAAGTCAGTTTAAATTTTTAATGGGTTTCTTGGTGTTTCGCCTTCAATTTATGCTGTCAGTGTTAATGTAAATGTGTTATGTCGACTTCCACAAATTAAGTACATGAAATACAAAAGAAAGGAATAAAAAAAATAACAATTTTGATTGGGGAGCTATCTTCTGATTATGCAGGAGCTTTTGTTCATTTTTTTTTAATTCAAAGGTATGATAAACTTATTGATGTCTAAAAAACACTTTAATCCTAGACTGCTTCTAAACGTAAGTGCAAAGAAAGTCTAATTTTCAGTATAATATGAAGAGAGAAAAAACATAATCATTAAACATTTTGATCATGAAAGAAACTTCTATCCAGGTTCCATAACATTTTGTATTTAGACTTCTTTTTCTTGTCAAAGATTTACTTTTACCAGTATTTTGCATTTAATGGATGGTAAACCATTATACAATGTAGTTTTATATATCTTAACTGTTAGTTGGTGATATGGTGGAACATTGCTTTCCTAATTTAATCCATTTATAAAAAAACGACTAAATGAGTTAGCAATGAAAACAAAAACTTTATCATTCATATTTTCATTTACACTCGGATTTAAATATAGGTAACCAATCGGTCTCAATAATCAAACTGGTATGCTAGCTTACTATTGACATAAAACAGAAAAGTGAAAGTTTCAAGTTTTATTTAAAGTTAGAGCTGATTTTCTAATGCTTGCAGTGTAAGATTTTGGTTGTCTTGCTTGCTTTGGTTGTATAAACGTTTGCTCAAGCATTGTTTTTTAGATTGACATCTGCAAACAATATAGATAGGCGGAGTTAAATCTGCATACATTATATTTATATGTGTTTGGACATTATCATGGAGGTAAGGAACACCCAATTGTACATGTAAACATTACATGACAAATATTATTCACACATATTATATATATCTAATAAGCTGGATTTTATAACATAACAAAAATAATCATTTATATGGGAAATTGATACAGTCTGTTTGTTTACTTATTAAATAGGATTTAGACAGGCACTGCTTTGTTACCCTTTCTTGATAAATGTGACTTGGTATTTGGCCAAGTCAATTGCATGAATAAGTTTTGCAATTTAAACCAACCTGTACGATGATCTGGATGGGGTTTACAGAATAGAAAATAATGGGCAAAAAGTGCAGAGTACAGGGCAAATAAAATAAAAAAATATTATGATAATGGGGTGCTAAAATATAATTAATAGAGAATAATGGGCAAAATAAATAAAGAATAGAAAAAAAATGTTCTAAAAATTAAAGAGTACAGAAATAAAGGACCAGTCCCTCTATATAGTTTGGTATAGCTTCCCTATGGTAGGTTAGTATAGAAGATGGACAAAAGATACCAGAGGGACAGTCAAACTCATAGATCGAAAACAAACCGACAACGCCATGGCCAAAAATAAAAAGATAAACAGACAAACAATAGTACAGATGACACAACATAGAAAACCAAAGACTAAGCAACACGAACCCCACCAAAAACTGGGGGTGATCTCAGGTGCTCCGGAAGGGTAAGCAGATCCTGCTCCACATGTGGCACCCGTCGTGTTACTTATGTTATTACAAATCCGGTAAATAGTCTAATTCGGTAAGTTCGGTAGTATAGTTATCAACACAGATGTATTGTTTTTAAGAATACCCCAACACAAGAAAGAAATCAGATAGTTTTCATTGGGCCAAGATTGAAACTGTTATTTTCTAAAACTTGTCAAGTTATATTTTATGCATCTTACTTTTGGTGGTTTCATGAAATATCTATATCTATAAAGATGATCTCAATGATTTTTAATAGAAATAAAGCAAAAAAGCTTTTAAATGCAAAATTCAGCATGAATACGCCTGAGAACGTTATTATTGTACCAGATTGCAATACAATACTAAATGCAAATTTGTGTATATATATACATATAAGATTTTTGTATTCAAAAGATCAAAATTATTTCCTTCTCAAAATTGGTTCACAAACGATTATTTATCCAAAACATTATATTTGGTGCATTTATCATTGGTAAGAATATAAAGGTCAGCAAAGAATCATTCAGTTTTGGCTTTTTATTATTGTAAATTCAGAAATTATTTCGCGGATTATCGCAATAATAAGAAATCGCATCCTGATATCTGATACATATATCTCCATGCAGATTTTTATCAAATGGCAATAATTAATCTCGCAGTTTTGTTCATTCTTAAAACAACGCAATTATAAATGCATGCAATCATTTTTGAATTTAAAACAAGGTTCAGAACTTGCCTGAGAATTAATTAGAAATAATTAAAATGATAATGTATCTTATGTTAGAAAATCAAGCTTATTGGCATGACACGGGTTAGTTCTTCTCATATACTTTATGATGGTATAATACATGTACTAAACCCCTAACAGGAGGGATTGTGCCTGATATTCATATGATAAAGACATAATCTTTCAATCAGTTTAATTGAGGTCTGGAGCTGTCAGGTCAGTAACTGCTAGTAGTCTATTGTTATTTATGCATTATCGTCATTTTTTTTGTTTTTTTTTTTGTTTCCTATTCTGACATTGGACTCGGACTTCTCTTAAACTGGGTTTTACTGTGCGTACTGTTGTACGTTTGTTTTTTCTACATTGGCTAGAGGTATAGGGGGAGGGTTGAGATCTCAAAAAAACATGTTTAACCCCGCCGCAAGTCAGGAGCCTCTGGCCTTTGTTAGTCTTGTATCATTTTTAATTTTAGTTTCTTGTGTATAATTTGGAGTTTAGTATGACGTCCATTATCACTGAACTAGTATACATATTTGTTTAGGGGCCAGCTGAAGGACGCCTCCGGGTGCGGGAGTTTCTCGCTGCATTGAAGACCCATTGGTGGCCTTCGGCTGTTGTCTGCTCTATGGTCGGGTTGTTGTCTCTTTGACACATTCCCCATTTCCATTCTCAATTTTATTATTGAATATGTTTGAATAATATTTGTCCTGTAATATGTTTACATGTACAATTAGGTGTTCCTAACCTCCAGGTTAACATCCAATCAAATTTAAGTTTACAGTATACAGGTTTAACTCTGCCTATTTATATTGTTTGCAGGTGTCAATCTTAATTACAATGCTTGAGCAAACAAAGCAAGGAATCTACCAAAGTTTTACTCTACAAGCATTAGGAAATTAGCTCTAATGTGCATATAATAAGCCCTTAACTTGAATTGACTTCTGGCCATGAACCCAGGCTACTGCAAGAATATATAAATGTTCTAAAAATGGATTCAGACAATGGCAATATAGTCATTCCTTTTAAAAAAACATTAGCAGATATACAGTATTCGAAAGAATATATCCCCAAGTAAAACGGTCAATACTTTTTTTTCAATATAACAAATATTGTTTATTTACATTTATTTTGATGGTTTATCATATACAAGTAAGGAAGGGTGTTGTAACTGTCCATGAAGCACCTATCCCCTAAAGACCAACAAATCAGGATGTAAAATAAACTGTTGACACAGATATATGTCCCACCTGTATGTAATTGTGATAGAGAGAATTGCAAATGTTGAAATTCAAATAGCAGTACAGGGCCAAATAGTTGTCGAGGAAATGAGATATTACAATGCTAATACAACTACATACCAAATATCATTGACTTATTACGAGTCAGTTTCCCTTAAACTGACTTAATTACAAACTTTAACATGTATACTATGCTGAAGTTTCAAAGTCAATAGACCATGACTAAGGCGACATGGCCC